CCCCCCACACACACACACACACACACACACACACACACACACACACACACACACACTAATAAGAGTCGTTTTATAACTTTATATTTAACTTTTGATGTATCTATTGCGAGCTCTGTGTGTTTATTGGTGCTTTGGCTTTAACAATCATTCTACAATATAATGTTTGCATATTATAACAATGCATATTTAATATATGTAATGAAGTGTACGAACAACTTTTATCGTATCGTTTATTGTGAGCATATGCAAAACTTAAAAACATTGTCAGGCAACTTAATGCATTTGTTTAATGTCTAAAGTAACAGGTTTTATTCAAGGCAAACATATTGTTTAATATAACTACAAAAAAATTGGGTGACACCAGTGGAAGTAATTATAAGTGTCCGATCAAGCAGAAATAGCTAGATCCTTAAGGTATCAACTGCAAGTGTCCACATATGCTTTGGCATTAAATATTTGTGATTAAATATGTTTTTGTATAATATTATTTCCTATGTCTATATGTGAAAGCCTATGAAACTTCCAAAACATTTAAGAACAAGCTGTTTTGGATCCAAGGAGTCCTAAAATCCTCATTTCCTTGAGCACTACTGACTGAAATGCAAACCTAATTATTTATATTTTGGTATTTTGACAGCCTTTTCTAATTCCAGTCATTCCCATGCTCTGTTGTTGTTGTTTTATCAGGATAATGAGATCAGCCCGGAAGGATTATTATCTCTGCTCAGCTCTGAACTAAAGCGAGAGTTACCAGAGGAGTTTGTGTACCGCCGACCGCTCAGTGAGTGACAACAGAAACCTGTGGGATTTCGTTTGCCAAAAGACACACGTCGTGGATAATAAATTAATGACTTATATCAAGATGTTGACTTCATTTGTGTTTTAATAAGTTGATTTTTTTAACCGTTTAATCGATATGATAGCACAATATGGCACTACTTGATATTTAAAGAGTGGCTATGCATCACATACACTATTTATATTTTCCGCTTTTCACCTTTTCTTGTCTTGATCTTCCTCCGTGTCCCTCAGGATGTCTGGACATGGTGGCCGTAGAGGGTCAATTTACATTCACAGCAGAACGTCCACAGTTAAACTGCGCCGTGTTTTTCATCGGCGAGCCTAGTGACATCATTAGCATCGAGTATGATTCGGTCAACATCGACTGCAGAGGAGGAGATTTCATAAAGGTGAAATGTTCTTACATCTGTGTTGTTCCTTTGTTTACAAAAAAGTCATGTAATAGTATCACAGTCACTTATTCTGTTCTAAATATGGAAGAAAAAAAACAGCTGGTGTGTTTGTGTCAGTCTTTACAAGCTGTGAATGTACACTAAACCAGGTTAAGTCAGGGCGCATTTTAAGCCAGGCCATACAACAGCAAGCATGTTTACATACAATGATCTAACATATTCCACTCTAAAAATTGAATAAAAAATCCAATTAAGCAAAAGTCATTCCAGACTAAGTTCGTCATACATTCTGAGTACAGCTAAACTAGTGCAGCTTTCACAGACTGTGCAAGATTGATGTCAAATTAATGTAGTTTAATAGGATTGGAAAACCCACATGGGATATTGTTGAAGTTAATGTACTGAATTAATTCCTGTTCAATGAAACGGACATGAAATGCAGAAATTTAAGATCATTTATTAGCACTGAAACAAAGCTGGCATGAACTCAACTGACCTAAAAGTCGGGTGAACTGTAGGGAATTATGTAAACTGAACCTGATCTGAACTAAACAGAGTTTAAGACAGTTAACTTGAACTGAAAAATGAAGTACATTGAAAAAAAAAAATGGTGTAGGATGTATACTTTGAAACAATTTTCACTCAGAAATTGCTAGTAAATAAGAAACGGCATTTTTGAAGTAGTAGGACTTAATATGTTCTTGTAAAACGTTCTCCAATAATCTTTATTTACAACTTTGAAAAATAATTTAATAAGCTATGTTGTACTGAATGCAGATGAGCTGAGTAGAATGGTGTTAAAAGCAAACTTTTTTCATCTTTAAGGTATTTGATGGCTGGGTTATGAAGGGCGAGAAGTTTCCCAGCACACAGGACCATCCTCTTCCTCTGTACGAGCGTTACTCTGATTACTGCGAGACTGGAGTGACTCGACCAATCGTACGGTCGTCTCAGAATGTCGCCATGCTGTTCTTTAGACTCCACCAATCAGGGAGCAGCTTCACAGTAACATTCCGCAAACTCATCAATCCGTTCCGTAAGTGCACATGCACACAAATACAAAAATGACATTATGTATTTATCTTTTTAAAAATTTGCCTTTCTGCAGTACTGATGAACTTGAAAACTAATGTCACTAATGTCCTGAAGGTTCAGAGCATTTACACTGTTAGCTGAACGACATATGGCTCATGCAGAAACCACGCTTGAAGCTTAACATGCAAGATACTGATGGTTAACCATCTGTCTCTCTCTCTCTCTTTCTCTCTTTTTGCAGCCTGTAATGTTGTCTCTCAGACCCCAGAGGGCAGTTTCACCATGATCATTCCCCAGCAGCACAGGAACTGCAGTTTCTCCATCATCTATCCAGTGGAGATCCAGATTGGAGAGCTCAGTCTCGGCCAACACAATGATCTCAGGGTGAGCATTTCCAGGTCAAGAAATGCATCATTTGCACAAACCAGCCTTCCCGAAAATAAAAATAAATTACAATAAAATAAAGAAATAGTATATAATATATATTACTTCATACATTTAATTTGCAATTTCACTATTTCAAAGTGTTTATATGGTTAAAGTACAGCTTAGTTTCGGCCAACAAAATGATCTCAAGGTGGGCACAAATCTGATTTCTGGTCAAGTAACATAGTATTTACACAAACCAGCCTTCCCAAAAGTAAAGAAATAAAATAAATATTAATTAATACATTTTATTTACCATTTCATTATTTCAAAATTAAGTTAAATAAATATTATTTCATAAATATTATTTACAATTTTCTTTATAAGTGTTTATGTGGTTAACTTATGGCTGGGTGTCCAGAACAACAAATAGAGACACAATAGAGTGAAATAGAGTGGTTGTTTGTTTAAGAATCTTTGAATTGAGTTAAGCTGATTTGAACTGATATCTTTAAAAATATATAGTTGATAAAAAGACACTGAATTATGATGACTTTGAGACTTCTGGTTTATCCATATAGCGGTCCATTCTCGGCTGTGCCGGTTCTGGAGACTTCGTCGAGCTTCTGGGTGGAAACGGCATGGACACATCTAAGATGTACCCTATGGCAGATCTCTGCTACTCCTTTAATGGACCAGGTGAGCATTCCTTTATCTGTTGTGCATCATCACTGCTTCTAGCAGTAAACGTGCTAAGCAATTTAGGGTGCAAAGAATCTCACAAACCTCTCCATATCTCTCTTCCCATCAGCTCAAATGAAGGTTGGCTGTGATAACACTGTGGTCAGAATGGTGTCGAGCGGGAAGTTCGTAAATCGTGTTAGTTTCCAATATCGGCTACTGGGCCACCAAGAGCTTCAGCAGATGAAGGGCAACAGCGTTGAAGACGTGTGTTTAAGAGCATAAGACCCTCTCTGTTCCCTGCTCTTGTTCAGGGGGATGCCAAACTTACTGAGTTTGAGCATTTGTATAATTTCCTTATTAAAAAAAATATTTATTTTTTGCCTCATCTTTTCATTTGACACTTCTGCTCTTTTTAATATCATGAAATTGTAAGATCTGTGGCTGATGTTAAATAAAATTTGTACTCGTGTTGGTGCACATCACTGTTTTGTTCAGCATGTTTCATTTTGAAGCGCCCAAATAAAATCTGGAATCTAAAAAGCGGTACTGCACAAGTATTAAAAAGTCCACTATGTACGACAAATGTAATTGTCATTATTTATCTGTATTAAAGAACTTTTGTAATAAAATCAGTAAACATGAGCAAAGCAAACTCTGGTTACAGTAATTTCTCATTTTACACTAGAAAACACTGACATTTATCCTAATCTACTCATTTTGTAAGGTAAAGCAAACTATTTATGTCACAAATTACTTGATGACCTGCCATTAAAGGAATAGTTCACCCAAAAATGAAGATTCGTTGAAAATTTACTCACCCTCAGGCCATCCAAGATGTAGATGAGTTTGTTTCTTCATCGAAAACAGATTTGGAGAAATATAGCATTACATCACTTGCTCACCAGTGGATCCTCTGTAGTGAATGGGTGCCGTCAGAATGAGAGTCCAAACAGCTGATAAAAACATCACAATAATCAACAAGTAATCCACATGAAGCCAATCCATCAATTAAAATCTTGTGAAGGGAAAAGCTGCGTCTTTGTAAGAAACAAATCCATCAACAAGGCATTTTAAACTTCAAACCTTTGCTAAAATATGACAATTTTGGGGTGAACTATTCCTTTAAGCCAGAACTTACTGTGCAAAAGGTGAATATAAACACATTGCTTTATGTATAATGGAATTGTAATGATTATTGTTTAGTGGCACCATCAAAACAAATAAAAGTGTGAATTTTGTCAGCTTCTAATGATCCCACAGTAAGTATTTTTCTAAACAATCTCAGCAGTCATCATGTGCTAAAAAGCAATGTAGCTTGAGAATATCAACCTGAATTATGAACAGCAAGTAAAATGTCAAAGCACTCTAAGATACTAGCATCAGCGACTTTTCTGTGATTGTCTATAACTCAGCCATTTTAGTAAAAAAAATTACATTTTCGTAATTAAAAAACCACAATGTTTTGAATAACATCCAAACTCTACATGACAATACAAGATACATGATAGGGCTGCACGATTATGAAAAAAAAACCATAATTGTCAATTAAATTGTAATTGCGATTATTAATTACGATTATCACAATTTACATTAAATGATGTTTATATCATTTTTATATCAACCGCATGCCATATTTTCAGATGAAAAGAAACAAGCTGAAAACACTCTAACTGAAAAAACTTTTATTACTTTTCCATAGTATTAAACCTCAAATGTCAACTCTACATTGGATTGTTTTTTTCTTTAAATACAAAAAGTAAAAATATGCATGGTATTATAATGTTATACCAAAACTAAAATTAAAACAATGGAAAAACCCTTAAGATAACTTGTAGAAAGACAAAAACACATCTTAAGCATGCAGAATAACGTAAGTGGACTTTGAACAATTAATTGCCGATTTGAACGATTAATTGTGGCATCCATAATTGTAATCACGATTAGAAATTCGATTAATTGCGCAGCCCTAATACACGACTATCAATTTAATGAGCTCAATTGGACCTCTTCATGAAAACTGCTGACCTGGATCCAATGGACTGCTTAATCACTATTGTTAAATCAACATATCGATTTATGTTTTATCACCACACTCTCGTAACTGCAGATGCTCATCATCATCATCACTGACAACCTGCTCACGTCATGACTGCAGAGGAGTTCGGCTTTGCCTTATCCTGTCAAATTTGTCCTATGATGGAGGACGATGTTCAGACATGTCTTTCTTTTGCATGCACCAGGCATCACCAAGGTCCCCTCGACATCTTGACCATCCCTCAACTAAAAGAAGTGATTGTGCTTAAAGGAGTAGTTCACCCAAAGTCATTATTAAATACTTTATACTGATTTAACAATATGTTTTAGCAGTTACTTAGTGGTTTAGTGTAAATGTATGTGCAATGATCTGTTCAATGATAAAAAAATGCTACAGCCAGACCCGGAGATCGGCTGTATGGATTCGAAAACGGTAAAACTCAACTGTTTAACTCTAGGGGAGTTGGAAAATGAGCCTATTTTCAAAAATAGTGGAGTGTTCCTTTAAGGAAACAAATGATTCTGGTCACATGCTGCGTTCGTCCAATCAACGACACTGACACCCAAATATGCAAATCAGGGATGTACAGTGTGAAACATCCACTGATCTATAATAGAGATAATATATATAGATCAGTGGAAACGTCAGATTATGAATACACAGGATTAATTGTTAACCCTGGGTATAAAATCAGTGGCGGGTTGCATAAACTGCTTAGACTATAGTCTTAAAGAGTTAGTCATC